CATGTAACCTAGCATTTTCACTGGTTCTAGAGATTAGGACATGGACGTGGGGTGAGGGAGGGATTATCCTGTCTCCCACTATCTTACAGACCATATTAGAGAATTTGAATTATTCTTAATGGCAAGAGAAACTATTAGAAAGCTTTAAACAAGGAACTAACAATCTGCTATTCTTCTTCAAAGTTTTTTTTTTTTTTTTTGCTATTTTAGTACCTTGCCTTTCCTTAGAAATTTTAGAATCATCTTGTTGGTATCTATTTAAAAAAAAAGCCTTCATGTGTTTTTGTTAGGATTGTATTGAATCTAAAGATCAAAATTAAGATAATTTACATCTTAATGTCAAGCCTTCCTGTCCACAAAGATGGTATATCATTCCATTTACTTAAGTCCTTGATTTCTTTCATCAATGTTTTCTAGTTTTCTACATATAGATTCTTCACATATTTCATTAGATTTGTATTTTTAGTACTACTTTTTGTGTGTGCTGTTGAAAATAGTATTTTGGCTTTAGAATCTGAATCCTGAATTTTTAAAAATAGTCATTGCTATTCTAGTTGCTATTACTACATAATAAATTACAACAAAACTTAGGGGTTAAACAAACATTATGCTCATAGATTGTGTTGAGCTAAGAATTTGAACAGGGCACGCAAAGATGGCTTTTCTCTGCTCTAGAATGCCTAGGGCCAGAGCTGAGAAGATGCAAAGGTGATTTTGATGGCTGGAGATTAGGATGATCTTGAAGGCTCATTTATTCACACATCTGGCACTTAGACTAGAATATATCAGACTTGTACTTCAAACCAGAGTGCCTAGCAGTGACCACTCTGTGTGGTTTGGCATCCTCAGACCATGGCAGCTGTGGAGTAAATGGGCTTCTTATGGAGTTGCTTAGGGATCCACATGCAAATAATCCCATCAAACAATACAGATGCTCAATTGTCTATGACTGAGTCTGGGAATTCACACAGCTTTGCTTCTGCCATTCGTTATTGGTGGAAGCTGTTATAAGCCTGCTCAAATTCAGGAGGAGTAGACAGATCCTACCCTTTAATCAGCAGAGTGTCAAAGAGTTTGGCGACCGTGTTTTAAAACTGCCACAGTTGCTGAGGCAATTATCGGGAATATAAGTAAATGAAAATGCTAATACTAGTAAAATTCCCATAATTTACAGTCTCTAAAAAAAAAAAAGAATGGGTGCATTTGTGATCTTTGCCAGACTCATTTTTTAGTTTATACAGAAGAAATATAACTTTAATATTTGTATACACCCTGGGCTTCCCTGTTGGCTCAGATGGTAAAGAATCTGCCTGCAATGTAGGAAACCCACGTTCGATCCCTGGGTTAGGATGATCCCCTGGAGTAGAAAATGACAGTCCCCTCCAGGATTCTTGCCTGGAGAATCCCATGGACAGAGGAGCCTGCGGGCTACAGTCAGAGTCCAGTCAAAGAGTCAGACACAACTGAGAAACTACGCATTCACTATTAATATACCCCAAGAAAAAGTTAAGAATTATCTAATACATTTTAAAGTTGAAGAAAATGCACACCTTGTTAGGTCACAGTAAGACAAAATTTTTAAAATTATTTTCTTGTCCTAGCATTTTCTTTCAGTTTAAACTGATCTTTAATTTTTTTTGTGCAGGTTTTTAAAAATTTATTTTAAATATTCAAAAAATTATTTTACTTTCAAAAGAGTTAATTCACATATTATTTTGGTTAAATTATACTATAATTTTGGGGGAGGGTACTCTTGGATCATTTAGATTTTGATAAGGAATGGTATGCATTGACATATAATTAGCTATTCTTACCTTTGCACCCTCTCTCCAAAGTAAGTACCTTCCTTTTCCTTGATGGATTGAAAAGTAAATAGACTGAAAAGTAAATAGACTTTTTTGGGTGGGTAATTTACTTCTGATAAATTTTACCAGTTCCAACATCCCTATTATTTTTAGAAGCATTTGAGTAGCTTGGACAAGATGATGGTTCTTGTCCTGTTTACAGAGATCATTTAGCATATATAAGCCAAATCAGATCATAGAGTGAGTAGATATTTAAACAGATTTATCTAATCTCTTGATTAATAAATGTGTACATTGTTGGGGCTATAATGAAGAGTGGCAAAACCATTTTTTAAAAAAGATCTATTTTAGTAAGAGGAGAACATTTTACACTTTTTTAAGGCATGTTAATGAAAGATTTGTATTAAGACTTGTTTCCTTTTAAGTAAATAAATTCTTTTAAGTAAACTATGATCATGTGAAATATCCTATAAGAAAAGTAAATTATATACCTAGTAAAATAGTGTTAGCTGAGTTTTGGTTCCTTGTATACTTGGAATTACAGAAGTGTGGACATTATTTTTTGTTTACAGCTTGATTGTCTGAATTATCTTTGGAGAATGTATTTAAATGACTAAATACTAAAGATTATTTAGTAGAAATTGAAAATAGAATAAGGAAATTATTCATGTATCTTTTATAAATACATATTTTCTATTTTATACATTATTATGGCAAGGAATACAGTGACACCTTTTGTGTCAGTGAACTTGAAGCAGCTTGAAATTTATATACCTATATCTGTGTGTGTGTATACATATATATGTACATATATATATATATATATATATATATATATGATTATCCTTTCATTTGGGCTTCCCTGCTGGCTCAGACAGTAAAAAACCCACCTGCAATGTGGGAGACCTGGTTTTGAACCCTGGGTTGGGAAGATCCCCTGAAAAAGGGAACAGTTGCCCACTCCAGTATTCTTGCCTGGAGAATCCCATGGAAAGAGGAGACTGGCAGGCTACAGTCCATGGGGTTGCAAAGAGTTAGACTTGACCAAGTGACTTTTACCTTCACTTTTCATTTGAGGTAAGGTACAGATACCTATTTCATTCCAAAAGACAAGCAAATTAGATTCTAGGATAATTCAAGTTTGCCCTTGGAACCAAAACTAGATTTCCATTGTTTGAGATAATTGACCTTCTGGGCTGAAGAAAGCTGGTAGGATTTTAGTGTAGCAGCCAGCAGATACTTGATTAAAAGCATGGACTTGAGCCAGGTTATCTAAATCAAATCCCAGCCCTATTAGTTTCTAAGTATGTGACTTTATTAACTTAAATTTTGTTTCATTTATCTTATTATAAAGTAGTTATAATGATACTCTTTATTTCAGGTGGTTATGAGGAGGAATAAAGGACTGAATATATGTAAAACATTAGAACAGTGAGTGGCACAAAGTGTAATGTTTAGGCTATTAATAAAATTAATATTAAGTTATGGTAACTTTAATGATACTGATAAAATAAATACATTCTATAGTGATCAAAGATAAATGTAAAAATGAAAGTATTAAAAGCACTAGAGGAAAACATGGGTAGTTTTATAATATTGGAGTAGGGGAGACTCTATGAAGTATGAATTAAAATTTTATCAAGCGTGAAAGATTTTACTACATGATAGTTGAGAAACTATAGCAAGAGACTACGTGAACAAAGTTAAGTAACCTGAAGTAAATACAGGCAGCACATAATAATATGGTTAAATTGCTTAATGTATGTGAACATTTATAAATTATTAAGGGACACACAATCCTGTGGGGAAAGGGTAGGTAACAAAGATACGCAAGTGGCTAAGAAACATTTGTAAGGATTCTCAGCATCACTGAAAGTTTAGTACTTCAAACTAAGATGTTTCTCTCTTATTAGATAGGCAGAGATTAAAATGGTACTCAGTGTTGGGAAGATGAGGCATTCTGAAGCATCATCGATGAGAGGTATAAATTGATAGACATTTTTGGAGATATTTGGCAATAATGGTTAATTTTAATTGCCCCTAAACCCTTTGAACCTCCAGTTTCAATTCTAGGAACTTATCCTGCAGATTCATCACAGAGGTTGACCTCATAAATTAGTTCACTCCCTGGAATAAATATTCATCATGGGGATTTGGTAAATAATGTTATGTTTCTACAATGAAATATTATTAGATTCTTTTAGAAGAATAATAAAGACTTATATATGCTAACATAGAAGGATATCCTTGCCAAACTGTAGTATGGTCTTTGTGGTTAAGTATATATATATGTTTATATGTATATTACATATATTGTACATATAGGTATCCAATATTGTACATATAGGTATCCAAAGAATACACAGGAAACCATTAACTAAACTACATCTGGGAAGTAGGATTTCAGCTACCAGGGAAAGAAGGGGATTTGTACTTTTCACTTTATGTTCTTCATTGTTTGAATTTTTTTGATAGTAGGTATATTGTTAGTTTTATAATTAAAAAAGGGGCGGACAGTAAGAAAGGCTTGAACTTCGTCTGTGGTAGGTATATTGTTATCTGTCACTTCATGACAAAATAGCCTAAGATTTACCAGCTTAAAACAAGGAGTACTCACCTCATACTTCCTGAGGGACATGAAGCAGCCTAGCTGGGAAATTCTGGATTAGGGTCTCAGACATGAGGTTGTAGTCAGGCTGTCAGCAGGGGCTCTGGTTGTCTTTAAGACTCGATTACTTGGTGTGAAGAATCTGCCTCTAGACTCTCTCTGGAGGTTGTGGGCAGACCTCAGTTTCTCTCTGGTCGTTGGTCATGAGAATGCGATTCCTCACTGAATGGGTTTCTCCAGAGAGCTCTTCACAGCTTGGCAGCTTTGATCTTCCACACTGAGAGATCTAAGAGTGCCGGTGCCTGAGACAGGACAAGCCTTAGCAGTGATATCATTCCCTCTGCTGTACGCTGCTGGTCACACAGTCCAAGCCTGGTGTATTGTGCGAGGGTATGAGTGCCGGAGCGTGGAGGCGGATGGGCGCCATCTTGGAGCCTGACTTCCGCGGCAGGTCTGTTAGAGTATAACCTCTGGTAACAGTTTGGGATTATGAAGAAGTAAATTAGGGCAACATTTAGATGGGAACTGTGCTTAAAAATTAGTTGCCTTCTTACTAATAACTGTCAATACTTGCTTTTCTTTTTCAGGTCCAGCACAGAATCAAATGCAAGTTCCATCTGAGTATGGATTGCCGCCTCAAAACTATATTGTTCCCTCAGGACATTACTCTCAAGGACCTGGGAAAATGACCTCGTTGCCATTGGATAGCCAGAGTGGTGATTACTACTCTGGTCTCTATACGGTACCAACCCCGAATGTGGCGACTCCTAACACAGCCAGCCAGCAGCCAGGAGCTCAGCAGATGTATGGCAGGGTTCCTCCCGCCCCTCATGCTGTGGGGTCCACTCCGGGATCTTTCCAAGGTGCCTCGTCCTCCGCATCGCATTTGCATACGAGTGCCTCCCAGCCGTTCTCCTCTTTTGTGAATCATTACAACAGTCCACCCATGTACTCTGCCAGTTCTTCTGTTGCTTCTCAGGGATTTCCCTCTACTTGTGGTCACTATGCTTTGTCAACTGTTTCTAATGCTGCGTATCCTAATATTTCATATCCCTCTCTACCTGCTGGTGATCCGTACGGGCAACAAATGTTTACCTCACAGAATGCTCCAACTGTCAGGCCAATTAGAGATAATTCATTTTCTGGTCAAAATACAGCTGTCAGCCATCCGTCACCGCTTCCACCTCCACCATCACAACAGTACCACCAGCAGCAGAGTCTTTCAGGATACAGTACTTTCTCGTGGTCAGCTCCGGCCCTTCCATCAACCCAAGACAATCTGATTCGAAACCACACCTCCCTGGCTACAGCCAGCAGCCCAACAAATACTGGTAGGTTGAAGGAAAAGTCCACCAAAGCATGGTTGAGAGTCAGTGTATTTCCAGTCCGTTTTTATTGCATGAAGGTTAAAGATGATATTGCCCATTAGAAAAATCAGCTATTTGCTTACTTTTGCTATTTATTTGCTTTTATTTACTGTAAAATTTTGCAGTATCTCCTTGAACCCGTCCCCTTCATTTGTTCACAGTTAGCCACCTGACTGTCTGCCTTGTATAGGGTGGTTCCTTGCCACAATTAGGATCTCAGTTGGTGTTTGCTGATAGGTTTTCTTGCCTCTGCAGTAGTTGTCTTTAATGTGAGTTCGGAATAGGGCACAGTGGAAAAGTCCATTTGAGGATATGTTTTGTTAGCTGCGGCTCAGAGGTTAAAGCGTCTGCCTGCAATGCGGGATCCCTGGGTCGGGAAGATTCCCTGGAGAAGGAAATGGCAACCCACTCCAGTATTCTTGCCTGGAGAATCCCATGGATGGAGGAGCCTGGTAGGCTACTACAGTCCACGGGGTCACAGAGAGTCGGACACAATTGAGCGACTTCACTTTGTTAGCTGCTTCTTTCTTTTTTATATTAGTTCAACTTTGGGACAGTTATTCTTCCAGCCATAGCCCCATTCTCTGTAGAAAAAATTATGGTCTGAAATACTAAACTGGTTAGGTGAACCCTTATTTGCAACTTTCACAGAAGATGTATTTCCTATGCATTAAAGCTGATGTTTTCTCAGCCCCAGATAGATAAGTTGAATGAAGGACAGTGAAGATGGAGAAAGATACATGAAGAATACCCTTGTAATTAGTTTTTCTCACCTTCCTACACCAAGATATGATTAAATTTATTTGTTTAAAAGTTATGTACACAATCTATATATGTAGTTTATTTAGTGTGGGGTTTGCATAAAATTTACTCACTTTAATTCATCTTGTCACTTTGACCTTAACAAAATCTGCTCTTGAACCGAATGAAACAGTATGTAAAGAATGAGTATTGGAAATCTGTGATAGTTTTCTGAATGATGTCTCTAGATTGTATATCAGAGTTTAGATAGCCATATGTCAAGGATGTTGTAGAAAAGTATCCTTCCCTGGACAGTTAGATTATTTAAAGTTAGACCTTTAGAATATTAGATCTGAACTATACATTTCAGATCGCCTATTCTTTAAGTGATATGTTATTTAGAAACACCTTGGGTTACAAGCAACTAATAGTGGTTTAAACAGAAAAGGTGTTTATTTTCCTCACATAGCAAGGAGTCAAGAAGTCTAGGCAGATGCAGATCCAGATGTCCTCATTGTCTTTTGTCTGTTTCCACTCTGCCATCCTTAATATGTTGGTTTATAGAAACAAGATAACTTACATACCTGTCAAAATTAAAAGCAGAAAGAAGGGAGAGGAAAGACGATGGGTTTGTGGCACTGACAGACTTCATTTTCCATGTCATTTGCCATTGCTGCTTTAAAAGACCATGTCTAATTTAAGGGAAGGCCAGGAAATAAATAGTTCGCTTTGGAGCCTCCATGATAGAGACAGGCCTGAAATAGGGGGTTAGCATTGACTGTGTCTTAGGTGAGTCAGCTTGAAGTATCCGTCACAATTCCCAAATCTGGGTCTGCACCAGAATCCCTTGCAGAGAATCCCTCAAACCCAGCTGACTGAGCTAGAATAGAATAATCTCCAGGGTAGTCTTAGGAATCTGAATTTCTAACTGGCTCTCAGTGACGTCTGGTAACAAATCCAGGCTCTAGTGCTATCCCTGTGGTTTACAGACTAGGAAAGCCTGTAGTCCTGAATACTAGGAACAGTCCTGAAGCTGTTTCTCCTGACTCAGTCTGCCTGTCTCAGAACCAGGGCTCTCTGTCCCGTAGAAATCCTGCTTGCTTTCTCCTTTCAGCAAGCCTTTTACAGATCAGCTTATCTAAGGTCCCCCTGACCTAAGGATTTTATGACTTTCGTGACAAAAAAGAAGAAAGTCAGGCAATTCCTATCTTATTTCTCAGATGGGAATAGGACCAGACAGAATGAATTTATATTAAGATGTAGGACTGGAAAATGTTGGGGCCATTTGGCTTATGAGTAGAATACCTATTGGCAAGGGCCTACTATTCAAAAAAATATTGAATAAAGAGTAAGGATAATTACAAAATTACCTTCTATTTGAATGACTAGTAATTAGTCCATTAGGCAAAGAGAAGGGAGTGTATTTCCATTGTTTTAATTGTAATACTATATTGTGAAAGCCATAATAAATATAATTTGGGAAGTTAATGTTAAAGAAGTGGGTTTTTCCCTCCTTAGATTGGTAAATGACTTTTTAATTGTAGTTCAGAAATTGACAAATTAAATATATCTCAGGTTAATATGGCCTATTGCTTGTCATCATTTCAAAAGAGATAAAGAGATTAGTTTTAAAACTTACTTGAAAATTCAATATTACAGAAGTTCCTAAACTTCCTCAGTTGATGTTTCTCAATACTTTTTTCCAGTGTTCCACACTGCATTGTAGTAATAGTTCATAAGGTTTTCTGACAGATGTTACCGTTTTTCTCTTGGAAAATTTAAAACATCCCTTGGAACTGTGAGTTTGTTGCAAGGGCAACTTGGGTGCCTAAGTACAAGGTTTGGGAGCGATAGGTATGTTGCTTGTAATTTTCTAGAAAGACAAGCAGTTTAATTGTTTAGGGCACTTTTAAATTATATTGTCAAAGTAAGAATCTTACATTTTAAGCATGGTTTTGTATGAAAACCAATCTTTGAGTAATGGATAAGAATGATTGCATTTTATTATTTGATTATATTAGTTTCATTTTCAGGTAATATAGTTAAACTTCAGCTATTCATGAAGGGTTGAGATTCAAAAGCATAGCCCGAGTTAAGTGATTATCAAAAATACAGTGATTGATACATGCTGTTACTTTTAGGCAGTTGAGTGCATATTCAGAAATGTGGAATAAAAGAGACATTGAAACATTATCTCATTTGTCTCTTTAATTTTAGAAAAGCACATTAATATAATTTAGCACTAGAATTTCAGATTATTTTTGTTAAAAACATAGTGATGTATGTTTTGAGTGCTATGTTTAGTTCATTTAGGGTGCAGTTTTGGCTAGTGTTTAAAAGGTATCATTAGGCCATTAAAATTTTTTTTAACTGTCGTTATAGGTAAATTTCTCAAGGTTCAGAAGCTCTTTCCTAGTTTGAGGTGAAATTGGTTGAGTAATACAAGTTCAAGAAGGATCACATCTTGCTGGCATATTGTAAAATAGTACTATCTGATTAATGCTATTTTACCAAGTACAATTTTATCTTTTTTAAAAAGAAGCATTTAAAAATCTACTCGTAAAAATAATAATAATAAACATTGATAAAATCCTTGTGTAAAAATCTACAACTTACAACACGATACTAAGGTATAATCACTGATGTGTTAATATATGTCTGTCATCTTGAGGTGATGATGTGCCTGAGGAAAAGCAAAATAGATACTAGGAGGTGACTACCTGGATAAAGAAATCAAGTTAGGAATAAGTTAGAAAACTACATTGAAGGCACGAATAGTACAGTTAAGAGATTATTTTCAGCTTCGGGCACTTGTGTTGAGATTGCAGAGTTGTGAGATAATAATAATTTTGCTCCCTCATACTCCTTCAGTTTTTCATAGGCACTCTTGAACCTTATCTTTTCTTACCTTTGTACCTTCCACTTGAAGATTTTCTATATTTGCTCCTTTAAGCCCAGAAGATGAAATGTCCATCTTTATGACCACTTCCTTCGAAACTTGGTTTTATTGTTTTGTTTTTTTTTTGGTGTCTTTTCTGGTGTCTCAGTTTCCCAGTTTCTGCTGGGCCGTGGCATTGGAAAGGTGAGAGGAAAGGACGAAGTGAAGGAAAAACATAAGCTTAGTTCTATCTGTAATCAGCGACCATCAGAAATTTTTAAGCACAGTGGTGACACTGTCAAATTTGTGCTTTAGATGTTTCTCTGTGAGTGGTGTGGTAGGTGAACTGGAAGAGGAAGAACTTGGAGACAAGAAGACTAACTAGGAAGGAATTAACTACAACTATCTAGATGAAGGATGATAACATAGGTTGGGATTCGTTTAGACAAAAGACAGGTGGCAAGAGATGATTTCAAGAATTGGTTGATAGGTTTATGAAGGAAAAGGAATAATAGAAGTTGACTTAAATTTTCTAGTTTGAACAGCTTGAATGGGTAATAGTGTTATTAGTTGAGAATTTAATCTCCCTAGTTCCAACAGAGTTGTATGTACACTCACTGAGGAGCTAAGAACTAACAAGGGAACTACCTTAATGCCAACAAATAAATAGATAAACAGTTTATTTCTGAATTGTGTTCTGTCGCTAAATATACCATATTTCATCTGTCACTTTCTCTTTATGAAAGGGGTCGTTTTGTTGGGTTTTTTTCTGGCATTTTTTTTGGTGGTCTTTAATATTTGTGGAACTTGTCTCCATATATTTGACAGATATTTGAAAGCCAACTATGTGACAGGCATTTATTTTAGTGCTGGGAGATAAAATAGCAAATAAAAAGACTTGATGCCTTACCTCATGAAGTTGTAATCTTCTTAGGAAGGCAAACATTATCCAAATAAAGGCAAATAAATGTAAAATTGCTATTGTCATTTAAGTATCATGAGGCAGAGATTGATGGTGCTTGGTGAAGAGTATTCTAGGTACATCTGGCCTGTTAGTCGTGGAACTTAGGAAAGTTTTCCTTCATATTTGATATGTGAGCTGCAATCTGAAGAATGAATTTTCCATGTATAAGATAAATCACAGATAAAACAAGTATCTAAATGCAAAAAGGCAAAACTTCAAAACTTTTCAGAGAAAATACAGAAGAACCTTCAGGTAGGTAATAATTTCTTAAGGACACTACACACAGTGTTAGCTAGCCATAAAGAATAAGCATGATGAGCTTTACTAATTTCTAATTAAGAACTTTATTTGCCATTAACTGGGAGAAAAAAATTTATAGTATTTTATCCAAAATTACACAGATAACACAGTAAGATCAATAAGGAAAAGAAAAATACACAACCAAGAAAAAAACACAAACACGCATTTCACAAATGAAAATATACTCGGTCTCATTAATAATCAGGGAAAAGCAGCTTAGAATGGGAAAACTCCTTATACCTAGTGTCAAGATGATGAAACTTTGAAGGACTGACCATACCAGGGCACGGCAAGGATGTGGAATTTAAAAAAAAATCTTAGACACTGTTTGTCGGAGGATCTGTTGGTCCAGTATTTTAGGGAAATTGGGCATTAGTGGAATTGAAGGTAACCATGCTCTGGAACATGGCTGCCCCACTTCTGTGTACTCTGGAGAAGTGTTCTTCTCAGACTTTGTGCATGTGAGTTACCCAGGGTCCTGTTAAAATGCAGGTCTTGATTCACCACGGCTAGTGTGGCCCGGCTTAAGGATTTTATCAAGTTTCTGACTAAGGTGTTGTTCCCCTATGGAGTACACTTTGAATAAGGAGGCCCTAGAACACTTCCTGTTTTAGATGTGTAGTGCTAGTAGGAAATGACATCTTGGGGATTCTGAACTAAAGAGACGAGTCTGTTCCCTTGGCCAAAGAGCTCACTTCGCACAGGCTACCCCTGGGGCCAAGGGCATTCTCAGCCCTTGCTGCAGCTTCGCACTTCTGAGCACACGCGCTGAGGAGCGCTGCCCCGGAGAAGCTGCACATGTGCGCCAGGGACGGGTCTGTGAGCATCCCTGTAGTACCGCATGTGAAAATGAAAAGGCAGAGCCCCGGTGTCCGCTTGTAGTTGAAGGGAGACGTAATGTATATCCTTCCAGTGGACTGCGGAGTAGAACTGCACTCGTTAACATGAATCCTGGAAGTCTACCATAGGATTCATGGAAGAATATATGTGGTATGCTGTTGTGATAAAGTTAAAAAATAAGCAGAAATAATGTTTAGAGATACTTATTTGTGTGGTAAACTATTTAACAACAAAAGCAAGGGGATAGTGAACACAATCAGGAGAGAGGCAAGGGAATGCCTTCTGTGAGGAGTGCACCAAGAGCGTCAGCAGTATTGGAAATGCTTTCTTTTCACAGTTGGATGCTGAGTTCCTGGGTATTTCTTTTATTATGATTTTATAACTACATACACATATGTAAGGCATAGACTTATTTGTATCAATTATTTTATTAAAGAAAAAAGTCTGTTACATCTAAAGGGGATTACGTGAAATTCCCTTTAATGGAAGAGAGCACAGCAAGTTCGAGGGACTGAAAGACTGAAGCTAGAGAGAACCACGGACCAGGAGGAGGCTGGGATCATCCAGGGCCTGGTTGACCCCCTTAAGTTTTCAGGATAACATGTTTCGTCTTCACCCTTGAGGACTGGCAGAATAGTGAAGGACTATAACCAGGATGATGCCATGTATCAAGCTGGAGACCGGAGAACACAGAGGGCCCTGTACACACCTGAACTGCTTCTGTTTGACTTGGTGCTTGGAATTTTTTTTCTGAAAAATTGCTTGTGGAACCTTCTAAAGGCCTAGGGTGATGGAATCATTCTCCAGGGAGGATTTACATTTCCTTCTGCCAGTTTCCTCCAAGAACTACCAGCTTGTGGTCACATTTATCCCAGTCTAAGGCCCTAGATGTAGTGGACTGTGTAGATGCTCTGAATCAAAGCTGCTGGCTTTTGTAAGGCTTGGTTTCCTGATTTATCCTGGTCCTGAGGTTATAACCCTTCAGCTATTATCCTAAAAGCGAAGGTATGGGGAGCCGCATCAGGCGCCCTGTCTTGGGTGTGCTGTTGGAGACGTCTTATTTTCCACACTCTGCAGGGCCACCAAGAACAGCAGATCTGGTTTGCAACAGATATCCACAGGGTGAAAGCAGTTCTGAGTGTTGGGCTTATTTCTCTCGAGTTTTCAGTTTCTTATAGATTTTCCCCCGTAGATTAGTTTATGTCATGTTAGATTTTTGTTGATTTTAAGAAAATCTTTTTAAATATAGTTTTTAAAGTTATCTTCCTAAGAAGATTTAGTCCTAATTACCTAGATCGTCGTTACCAGAGGCAGAAATATTTTCTATATTTTTATACAGTGTCTTTTAGCAAAGGTAAAATTAGTATATTTACTGTTTTCCATGCCCCTTTTCTTTCCTCTATCACTGAATTTTAGGTGATCATATCTTTCTTAATTTTCACCTTGTACTGTTAGATATACTCATCACTCTTGCTACTTTGACATTTTGAATGATTCTATCCGTTATCTAGTAAACCAGCATTATGTTTTATTTTTCACAGTCCTGTGGGTTGGTCGGGCAGCTCCTCTGCTTGCTTTCCTGGGCTTCTGTGACTTCATTTGGCTTGACGGTTGGCTGGGCTGAAAGACCCTAGGGCTTCACTCACCTGTGTAGCTGTTGGTGCCCGCTGTTCACTCGAGCACTTAGGTTTTTCTCCACATTGACCAGATCTGCTTCCTTACATTATGGTGTCAGGGCAGTGTTTTCAAGAGCAGAAAGGTATAAGCTTCAGTGCCTCTCAAAACACCATTACTTTTGCCACATTCTGCTGGTGAGAGCCAGTCGAAACTTTAACCTCAGTTCAGGGAGTGGGAAAATAGACTCCCACTTCTTAATGAGAGGAACTGAAAAATATTGTTGACTGTGTTTTTGGTCTCTCACAGTGACATTTGTCCTTACTGAAAATTATGTGGCAGTCAGTGCACTTAGACCACAGTCCACCTTCTTTCCCCGTTCCTCATATTTGTATCATTTGTGCACTATTAGGAAATGTATCACATTTTGTTCTGTTACTATATATAGTTACATTTGCTTCAGTCTTAGACCTGAGTTTGTTCATGTATATATACACATATCATGCATATAATACACATACGTACCTGTCTGTATGTGTGCATATACTGTTGTATAAGTTTAAGATGTGCTGCATAATGATATACAAATTTATTGCAAAATGACTACCATAGTAGGGTTAGTCACCTCATAATTGCCTTTTTTGTGTATTTGGTGAGAACATTTAAGATATACTGTCGTAATAACTTTCAAGTATATTACAACAGTGTTTCTAAGTATAGTCGCCGTACTGTACATTAGCGCTCCAGAACCTACTCCTAACTGAGAGTTTGTACCCTTTGACCAGTATCTCCCTATTTTCCTCATCTCCCTGCTTCTGGGAACCAAAACTTTCTGTGTTTGGCTTTTTTAGATTCCATATGTAAATTAGACCATACACTATTTTTCTGACTTAACCTCAATTAGCATAATAACCTCAGGGTCCATTCCTGTTGTCACATGGCAGCATTTCCTACATTTTTATGGTTGAATGATATTCCAGTGTGTCTGTGTGTGTTTTCTTTATTTCCACATTTTCTGTATCCATTCATGCACTATATGTGTGTATACACACACACACACACACACACACGTATAAATGCATACACATCATACCTCCATGTGTATATATCTAGATCCACCACATTCTTAAAGTCCATTCCTCCACCAGTGAACACCTAGGTTGTCATCGTAGGTTTTTCCATTATCTCTTGGTTGGCTGAAAATGATCTTACAGGTCAGGCAATTTGAGCTGTCACAGAGACTAAATATGAATCACATGCACTTTCTTCTAGAAGTCCAACCTAATGTTAACCATAGTAGCTACCTGTGAGACAGGGCATCTGACTAGAGACAGCAAATGAGACGTGGCAGTTTACAAAACAAAATGGGATCTGAGCTAGTACTGGAAACATTGGTATCATTCAAAAATCACATTACTGTTGAAGCAAACTACATCTATCATCTGAGGAACCACTGCATAATGCAATAATTCAGATTAATAATAGTGATCTTCAGTAAAAATCATTGGGGTTCATTTTGTTTAAGAAGGTTTGGAAGCTTGTGAAATGTTTTAGGAAAATTGCTATTAAAGGTTATTAAAACATTTAGTAAGTTTTTCGTTTTTTGGAAAATCATTTCTTTGGACCCATTATTTCCTAGATACAGACATACTAGATAAATGTGATGCTGCTGAAGTTTCTACAAGAACTTCAGATAAACTGTGTTTTGTTGGTATTTTAATGTATTTCAAGCTTATTGCTGTGGATGAAACAGTTTCTTGTCTTCAGTTGCAGATTCCTTGTCCTGTTCTGTAATGCAAAATGTTCAGCCTCCTAAATCCAGCCCAGTAGTATCCACTGTTGTGTCAGGAGCCTCGACAGCTAGAATGCCTCCTGCTGCAAATCGTCCAGTGGAGCCTGTGGCCTCGGTTACACAGCCGTCAGAGCTATTACAGCAGAAAGGTATTTGAGAAATCTGTTATACTAGGTATAGTACATACATACACATACGTACATGCTAATTCAAATAACTGATTTTAAAAAGTCAAACTGAATAACCATAATTTATAGAAAATATGAAAAAACTAATTTATAGTTTCTATTCAGACGATTATGTTTTAATATTTTCCAGCCTCTGTTTATGATTTTATATATGTTGTAGAATTTTGTTAAATCTGTTGTATATAATTGTGGTCAGTTTACATAATGTTTTGTATTCAGCTTTTACATTTATTAAATTATGCAGTTCTCCATATATGTCTGTACAGTTTTGTAGTCATGATGACTAATTCATTGTGTCAGTATATTATAATTTACTAATCATCCCTCTATTATGGACTGTTTCATTTCATTTTTTTTTTAAGATTATTATTATTTCTTCTAGGATGAAACACCCAAGATTTCCTTATTTAGTGAATTTACATATCCTCTTTGATGACTTCTTTGCTTGTCATTATAATTAATAGAAAGTAACTTTTGACCCAGTTTTGAGCATGAGAGGATGAAAATGAAATTGTAAGCCACACTCTTACCTTGTTGACAAACAATATGGTTTATTTGTCTGCTCTTTTAATGGTTTGCATGTGTTAAGTGACAGGTGTTCTTTTAACCCTGTTTCCCCACAATGCCTTTTCTTTTGGCGGTATTCTTGATTTGTTTTCTGTCTGGCTAAAATTCCAAATCTATTGAGGTTTCAGGTTAATACACTGTATTTCTCATTTGATGAGAGAGAACTGTTTCTCGGGTTATGTGTTTTGTGTTCCCATTATAATCATTAGTAATGTTTTAGGCACTGTATCACTATGTAATGCCAACCCCTCTCCTTGAGTCTGAAGAACCCTTTTTTGTTTGAAACTTGGAAAAAGCAACATAAATCCTTTGACTTGTCTCAGTGCTCTTATCTGCTAAGTGTTCCTGTGGTCAGCAGAGGCTTTTCTATCATTTGATTGGATTGTACATTATAGATTTTCTTACTCTTTTTTTTTTTTTTAAAGAGAAACCAACTGCAGCACCAAAGGGCGTCCATTGATTCCCAGCAAGCCAGTAGGTGTTTTAGGAATAGAATCTAGTTATTACAGCATTTACCTTCAAAGTGAGGGACTATTAGGAGAGTTTTACTTATCATGAGTAGAAGAAATTTAAGGGTAGGTAGAAGCCCTAACTAAATGAGTGGTGTGTTTCCTAACCATTGATGGCCACCTTCCAGATATTACATATCTTGCTTGTTTTGGCCCTTTACATTGCCCCGCCCCAGTTTATTTTAATTTCCTTATCAATTCTACTAGGTAGACATCCTGGTTTTACAGATGAGAAAAGTGACACTCAACAGCAGTTAGGTAACTTGCTCAAGATTATAAATTACGGAGTAGTAGAATGAAAGATCTTTACCTCTCACCTTTCTATCTTGTGCTGTGTCTATGAGGCTGAATTATTGTTTTTGTCAGCTGTTAAGCGCTTATCTTACCCAAGATAACGCTCCTTGAATAAGTAACAGAAAAGATAATACTGGAGACATTTCAGTTGCAGCTCTTATTGTTCTGTTTTCTGAAGTAGAAGATTGGGTACTGAGTGGTCTCTTTGCCTTTGGATTGATTTGGAATTTACACACAGGTCTGTGTGAGTTCTCTCACCAAGTGTGTTGTGCACATAGTCGTTTATGGGCCTGATACTTCTTGCAGTTGTGCAGGCTACAGCTGTGTACAGTATGCTATGGGTCTGATATGACTTCTGAAATATTGATACTTGAAAGAGATTAGTCTTTTTCTCCTGTGAATGAAAAATGTTGCCTGCTATATAGCAAAGAATGGGGCAGCCACCGAGGCACTGTAGCTGCCTGCCAGCAGTCAGCCCGGAGGGAACTCAGGGCAGAGGCCCTAAAGCCCTACAATCACCCCGCAGCAGTGCGCCTGAGGCAGCTGGAATGGGCAAGAACTGAACGTTGGCCTCCATAGCGGTGGTGCGTATCACATGAGTGATTTCAGTGCGTCTTCCCACATGTAGAAAAGTGCTGCATCCATTAACTGGTTTTCTTTAATTAAGATCTTTTGATGTTCAGCTGCCTGGTCTTTGTCCCCCAAACCTCTGTATATCCTGGCTCTTCCCTTACCCCTTCGGAACAGCCCCTCAGAGCTATCTGAGATACTGGCCTCCAGGCTTGAAGTCCTCAGAAAGTCTGCCAAATAAAACATAGTTCTCAACCTTTAGGTTGTGTTTTTCCAGTGTTTCTTAGTTATTCTCACAGCATTTTGTACTGGTTTTTAGAGGAGAGACTTCAAATTTTTGCTTGCATACCTCCTAAAATTTTTTTTGAAGCAAACTAGAACTACTTGAACATTTTTAGATCGACATCTAAAATTTTTCACCAGAAGTTTAAATACTTGCAGTTACATAATTTTCAGTGTACTGCATATATTGACTTTTAAAACAAAGATGTTGTGTTTTTCGTTGTATCCACTGGGATGAAGTCTGTCATCCTTTAAAAAAAATAGTGAAATGAGCCCTTCTTTAACATTTAGAAAGTTTACATTTTTCCTTTTTCTTCTTAATATCATATTTCCTCTCTTGAATGTAGTAAAAATATATACTTAAGCTAGAAACTTTTTAACACTCCATCATGCTTCTCTGCTACTGTGTGTGTATATATATATATATTATAAATTGAAGTTTTAAAATTTGTGTTATTGTCTATACTCACAGGTGTCTAAGCTTTAACACTTTTTCTTCTTGGTTATTCTATCAATACAGTTATTTTAAGTTTCTAGTTGGTGAAAACAATAAACATTATGAATTTTGGTGTTTTTTAAATAGAAAGTAGCTTTTCATTGGAAATACATCTTTCATTGAGGTTAATGGCTTTCCCTCCTCCCCACCATAGCTTTCTGTACCTGGGTTGCATATGGTTCATTATTAAAATAAGATAAATTTTAGAAAAATTTCATTTATAATTATTTTTGTACAGATAATTACTGAGAAAATTTTGTTCATGTAGGGTAGATAGGAATGGTATTGGAAGGATTTTATTAAAGCAATATTGTTCTTTTATGTTTTTTAACCTTCTGAGTTTATTTTCCAGGTTGTAGATAGCTGGTAACATTATTATTTCATGTAGCAGTTTATGGGATCACACAGAGTCAGACATGACTGAAGTGACTTAGCAGCAGCAGCAGCAGCAGTTTATAATTTAAAAATACCTTTAGGTTTTATTATCTCACTTGATCATCACGTGAAGCAGACAAACCATATATTTCTTTTATAGAAGAGAGAAGTTGAGGTTTAGAGAGGTGTGTGTTTTACTGAGTGAGCAGTTATTCAAAATACTGTAAATTTCATTATACTATTGCCAATATAATATCACATACTTTTATCTCACAGGTAGTAGTATCTCCACATAACCTAATTGGCAAAGGCAGTCCTCATTTTCAAACCAGTGAGACACATTTTATTCTTTGTCAAAAAGTCTGATTTAATTTTTAATCCAATGAAATGTGTTCCTAAAGTTTCAGGAGGTATCATAAACTCCACTGAGAAATAAATTTCATCTTACATTTCATAAGCCAAAATTACTAAAAGCTGTCAAGTTTAAATGTCAAAGTTATTCTTTTTTATAGTGAGTTATAAAAACTAGACAGTGAATCAATATGCTGTTTCTCATTGCCAAATTTGAAACAAAGCATTGTAATATGTACCTGATATTAGGCTATTTGTGAAGCAAGGATTGTCTTAAAAAGCATTGTGTTCCTGTGGTAAAATACATGCATACTGTAGTTGCTCCAGTCACGTCCAGCTTGCGACCCCATGTGCTGTAATCCGCCAGGCTCCTCTGTCCGTGGGATTCTCCAGCCAAGAACACTGCAGTAGGTTGCCATTCCCTTCTCCAGGAGACCTGCAGGCAGATTATCTTCTGAGCCACCAGGGAAGCCCCAAATATATGCATAGTGTTTATCGAACTCTGTTATTTGACTTTTTTTTAGTATTTAAATAGGAATCATGCGTAAGAATTAGAAATAATTCCATTAATTTCATCAGGCATAGTAAAAATTTGTACATATACAAATATATATACAGTATGTATATATAGTTCATATACAAATATATATACACTGTATATTTTTATTATTTTTATATATATATATACACACACACACTACTAAGTACTAATAGGTTTATTGTTGTTGTTTAGTTGCCAAGGTGCCCACGACTCTTTTGTGACTCCATGGACTTATAGCTCGCCAGTTTCCTCTGTCCCTGGGATTTCCCAGGGAAGAATACTGGAGTGAGTTGCCATTTCCTCCTCCAGGGGTTCTTCCCGAAGACCCAGGGATAGAACCCATGTCTCCTGCATTGGTGGGCAGATTTTTACCACTGAGCCACCTGAAAAGCCCAGCTAATAGGTTTACCTGCTACTAAATTTTTTGTTGTTGGTTTTAAAAGAAGGTAGAAAGAAGTAAATACTGTATAAAATAGAAGGAGATATAAAGTGGTGATAAGTATTATAAATATTTTATGATAAAATGGGTTATAAAGTACTTTATTGAGTATCTCATAGACTTTGAGAGAAATCCAGTGTATCTTGAAAAAGACTGGTAGTCCTGGAAAATATTCTACTTGTTTTTGAAGGAACTGGCATTACTCAAAATATTTCTCTGGTTTGTGGAAGGTTCTTTTTCTAATGACTTGCCCTAGGGATAAGTATTAAGAATAGTTGAAAATAATTGTTTTCATTTAAATATACACAAAAACATGTTTTGAAGTTCAATAGTAATTATAGCAAATACTTGTGTAGGATTTACTGTATTTCAGGTTCCATTCTAAGATTTTAAATATATTAATTCATTTAATCCTCCCAGCAACCATTTGAGGTAGTCATTGCCCCATCTTACAGATGATATAAATGAAGAACAGAGAGGTTAGTAATTTGCCCAAAGACACACAGCTAGTAAGTGATATTTCCTGGAATTGAACTCAGAGACTCCATTTTATCCATAATGTCCCGCTGCTTGTCTGTTTAATATTTCTTACTGTTTTTGCTTTGTTCTCATTGAATTCTGAAAAGCAGTGACTTTGATAGTAGTGGTGGGGGCCTGCATACATGCAGAATCATTAAATAAATCATTACTCCCACTACCCTACTTTTCAATATTTCTGAATTAATAAAGCCAACTCTGTTTCTGATATGTTTAATTTTTAAGTGAAGCATGTATGGCAAGGTAAATGAAAGTCTGTGGATTTAAGGTGCCTTGATTAATCATTTAAAGGAGGAGGAAACTTTCCTACATTAAGATTTAGGATAAGTTAAGGGAATGTGTTTCCTTTGTAAGTTGAGAAAAAGTCTGTTCTTAACACAGGTACTTTCTTAGATGGATTAAGTATAGGAAAGAAAATACTGTGGAAAGTGATTCCCATAAAACCATTCTTTGGTGGAAACCCTTGCAAAATCTTCTAGTGTATGCACTTAGAAGACTAGATTAGAAAAGGTAACAGTTGCTCAAATGTCTGAGCTCTTGAATTTAAAAAAGCTAGCCTCCCCAAAGGATTTGTTTTCTCTTTAGACTGGTTTTATTTATTCCCAGTGTAACTGTATCTAGGGAACAGTAAAGATGCCTTTTATTAAGCAACTCCAACTCTCTGAAGAGAGTCCTTTAATGATAGGTAGTTTAAAGAGGATGTCTTTTTTAAAATATTGGTGACCTGTTAGTAACAGGTTCTTTTTTTTTTTTTTTTTTTTAGTAACAGGTTCTTTATCATGTCATTCAGTTTGTGAAATAATGTTCTGCCTCTTGGTTTTCTAGATTTATGCCTTGAAGCTCTGACAGAATGAACTAGGAATGTGGCTTTGCTTCCTTGTTTGGTGGTGGTTGAGGTGGGAGGCACCCCATGTACATTTCTACAGTATACTGTGTACAGTCTCGAGCAGGGCATTTACATATGGATTGTTTCTCTGGAACTCTTACCATTCTTCTGTGAATTAAACAGACTGTTATATTCTTGTGCCATTAGTATTCCTAAACTTTTAACAGAGTTTACTTAAAGGAGCAAAGAAAGGTCAAATTCAGAGCAGATTGAGTCATAATTGGGAAGGAGCTTAAGTATCGATACATTCATCTCTAGCACTTCTCAAAAAAGATTGCATCTTTTTAGAACAGTAAAATTAAGTATGTTGTGTGACATTCAGGTAATATAGTATGTTGACAACCATTGAATGATCTAAAATGATATTATAATAAATAATATTACTCTGTTACCTCTTATTTTTAGGTTTGTTCCAGTGCATTAACCCAGTGCATTGCTCTATAAAAAATTTTTTTTTTGCTTCCAGTTCAGCATTGGATATTTTTCCAGTAATACATGAAATCTGTTTTTATTCAATAAATCTGGAAAAAGAGGAAAACATTTATCTTATAACATGTATAGGTTTGCCCTATGCTTTGACTCCTTCGATTAGATATAAAATCAACAGTCTACACAGTCATGAAAAGAAAGGATTTTCTTCCAGTTTTTTGGCCTCTCTTAGCTTAGCACAGTAGATGGAAATTTCTTGTTTTCTTGTTTCTTATTATATACATACACATACGTGTACTTTTTAAAGTGCAGTGCTAATTGGTGTTTTGAGAAAGTATTTCATTTTTAAAGAAGTCCTTAAATTGAACAATTTTTCTATAAAATATTTTTACTGTTAACATGTCTAAATATAAACTTCTTAGTGTATTTAACCTAAAGTCTAATATTAGTCAAATTTTCATTTTAACTAGGCTTTTATTAGAGGAACTTGCCACTCTGAATTTGGTCTTTCAAGGTATCAAGTTAATTTTTTGTGTTGCCTGAACTTACTTTGCACTGATTTTTACTTTTTCAGGTGAATTTGTGATAACTGCCATTTTATCTGTATTTAAAACGTATTTCAGCAAAGCTAGCAGATTTGTCAATGACATCTTTAGTCATAAGTATCAAAGCTTTACTCATATACAGTTTAACTTTTGCTGTCTCCCAAGTTTAGACTTTACTTCATTAAAATTTTTTTCTTACTATACACGTGAGTTATGTTTCTCCATGCTAATTAAGAAGGTCACCTGGAAAAAAAAAAACAAAACAAGAGCATGAGAGGACTACCACATGATTTTTTAGTGAGGCAGGGCATCACTGCACTTCTGATACTGTAAAATGTTCTTGAAAATCCACATTATGTTTCTGGATTCTTTTTTTTTTCTTTTTCAAATTGAGCTCTAAGATTTTTCTTAGTAAGGATGTTTATTCTTATTTATGAAGAGTATGTATTTTTAAGTGTGTATATGTATATTTTTTTAAAAATTTTCCCTCTTAAAAATTTTGTGTATCTTAGTTTTTTGTCCTGATTTTTCTAGAGTAATTAAATAATAAAAATATGCAGCCAAGTTTTTGTTTTAAAGGGAGGTATTCTACAGTTACCAGCTGTGCCTTTTGCACAGGCTGCCTTCTCTTGCTGTATCTCACACTGCAGACCAGTCTCCTTCCCTTAATTCAGACTCACACATAGGCAGTAGGCTGATGCTGAGATGATTTGCTGTCTCTGAAAATTCGCTTTAATTGTCTTGTAGGGCCACAGTGAATAAGCACCCCCCTCTTTTTTTTTTCTTTTGAGCATCTACTCTGAGCAGAAAACTGTGCTAGATACAGTTCTTTTCTTTAACTGTCATTCTTTTTCCGTTATGAGAACTGAGTTACCGTCAGCGTGGCATTAGAGAAGGAAGGTACCAAGTATTTGTATGTGTGTTGTATGCTATACAAATTCATTTCAGTGGAAACGATCGCTGTTCACCAAGAATACATGGTCTCAAAGGAAGTATACCACAAGGGCCCCAAGGTCAAAGAAGGTAAACACGTGTAGAGCTCAGTAAAATGTTCAGAGAATATCAGTAGAGTTTCCTGAATATTATCGATGTCAGACATGGTTCTTTTTTTTTTTTACACTTAAACCAGTTCATTTTAAAGCTGCTTTTACTAAACTGCTTCGCAGAGATTTCTAACAGTTTCAGTTTCGATTATAAATTAGCTAATATTAATATGCATGCTGGGGCGCTCTCTGGAATGTCAGAGTTGTTTCTCACTTTTGATGCAATGTCAGAGTTGTATTTCTCATCCTTCCTGTCGGTTTGACTCGTGTTTGTGCTCTCCACTTTGCAGGCGTGCAGTATGGTGGATATGCTAATAGCCCAGCTAGCTTCGCAGCAGCCCCCTTGTCATCAGCTTCCGATGATGAGGAAGAGGAGGAGGAGGATGAGGAAGCAGGTCTGCTTCAGCTGCGCCCAGCTCTTGACCTTCCCTCTCGGGTTCTCTTTTTGTGTCCGTAGTCTCACTCGCCCCTAAACCGGTGTGTCTTTATGGGTTTAGCTCGGTGGATTGGTTTGGGTTGCAGAAGGTGGGGGTCACTGGCCGTGTTTTGCTTGTCTGTTCTGTGTTTCCTCTTTTGGACATCTACCATTTTGTAAGTAACAATGCATTTTTCATGATGATAGAGTGCTTTCTTCTTTCAGAAATTTATTTCCTCTCATGCCACATGCTAAAAAGAATGAGTCCTGACTGATGCTTTTGGCTGATGATTGCTGTAGCACCCTTTTAGGAATGTTTTATTTTCTGCTTTGCATGCCACTTTGGGATAATCAAAATGAATGAATCATGTGGGTTTTATAAAACTGATGTAAAAATTGGAGAGCGTTTCTCTGAGGTTTTTCTTTGTGGCCCATCTTGTCATATATTTTGAAGACCCCAAAATTGTAGTTTTCCTACTTCCTGAAGTAGAAGTTTACATCTTGCTAGTTGAAGAAATTGTGCATGTGATGATGTGTTGCAGCCTGTTTAGTATCATTTTCTACCTTTGATCAGTATAACTGCTGAATTTTAAGTAGTTCAGTTCCCTTGTTAATTCTGATATTTTAAGACTGAATCAATAAGTGCTGATCTTTCAAGTTATACATGACCACGATTCTGTTATCTTTAAAACTGAGTGGAAGGATTTGCTCTGTAAACAGTCTGTTTAAATAGAGCTTTCTGTTCCCTTTGCATTTTTTAAGCATTCAAATCCTTATGCATGATTTGTGGGGGCAGGGTGAAAGTAAAGGGTTCCAGAAGGATGGTATTTTTTTCTTCCCTTAAAATCCAGATACTCATTTATCTTTGTGAATTTTTGGTAGCTTTTTATTTTATATAATTTCAATCTTACAGGAGAGTGGAAGAAACTACCATATATACTTTACCAAAATAAACCATTTTTGCCTCATCCTCTCTATATACATTTTTCCTGTGTCATTTGAATGTAAGGTGGAGATACCATGAACCTTTACCTCTAAATATTTCAGTGTGTATTTCCTGACTTATGTAGCACAAACAATATAGTTATCAGGAGATCCGTCACTGTTACCTTAATGCCTGTTACACAGTCCCTAGTCAAATCTTAGCACTTGTCTCAGTAAGATCTCTTATAGCTGTTTCCATGTCCTAGGATCCAGTCCAGGGTCATGTGCTGAATTCAGTCACCATTTATTTAGACTTCTTCAACCTACAACAGTCCCTTAACCTTTCTTTATTTTCCTTGACTTTGACACTTTTGGTTAAATGGAAATCACACATTTTTGGCAAGATTACCACTGAAGTAATGTGTTCTGTCAGGAGGCACATGATGTTGATTTGTTCCCATATTGATGATAACTTTGATGACTTGATTAAGAGGGTGTCTGCCAGATTTCTCAACTGTAAAGTTACTTCTCTTTTCCCTTGAAATTAATAAGTAATTTGTGGGGAAGTTCTTTGATACTATTATAAATATCCTGTTCTTTATTAAACTAGCATACAGTAGTTTGAACATTCTTTGGAGATTTTCTAGTTCTAACATTCCTTCTTTGTGTTCAGGTTTCACTGTGAAGAAGAGCTTTCTCTTCTCCCTTATTGATTTCTTTGTGTTTATAATGACTCATGGATTCTTGTTTTATTCAGTGGGTAATAATCCATTACTGTCATTAGTTATTCTAATAGCAATTTGTCCTCAACCTGGCCAGCGGCAGCTCCTTCAAGCTGTCTTTTAAAAATGTTCCCATGAATCTTTAAGCACTTATTTTAAGTCTGTTAAGTCCTCACTCAGATGTTCCTAGCTCATCTTGTGTTCGGGCTGCTGCAGCCTGGGATGGACCATTTGCTTCAGTCCTGGTACCTGTAGTGGAGAAGGGCATTTTAGGAACCAGGATCTTAACGTATGGATGGCCCTTGCTGCAGATGGGCCACTGCTCCCAGGCCCTGGTATTCTAATGATTTAATGCCTGTGTTATTCAGATCCTACATATGTCTCAGTTTTTAATCTTATGATCCTAATTTTACACAGTTCAAAAATGCGTTACTTTGTGTAATGTTGTCAACCTAAATTTCCCGTTTTTGTTCTGCTGAACAATTAGGTGCATTTGTTGAAAATCCCATTTCCTTAGATGAAAAAGAAAAAAATCAGAAAATCAAAAAGATTTAGCATTTATGGCTTTTCTTCTGTCACCTTACATTATTTAACTAAAGCTGTGGGTTTTTTTGTATCATTTCTTCTAGATTCAAACCCTGATTTTGTCACTTACTAACTTTGTGACCTTAGACAAGTTTCTTAAACTCATTGAGTCTCAATTTACTCATCTTGTCAGTGGAGAATAATAGTAACAATTACACATGGTTGTTTTGAGGATTGAAGGTGTTATCTGTCAAGAGCTTAGAACAGTGTCTGGCAAATGCTAAAATCTCTCTAAAAATTAGTTGTCATTAACAACATTGAGCACATGTTCTTATCTCAGTTTATTCTTCCCTACAATCCTGCAATGTAGAGATAATTGGCTCCATTTTGCAGATGAGTTGATTGAGATCTGAACAAAGCATTAGCCTCAAACTAGGTCTCTCTGTCTGCAGAGAGGTGTGAACAGTGTAGTCTTCATCTCCTCGAAAGACCATGAAGCCCTGAAGTAGAGGGGACTAAAGAACACGTGGCAGTGGTCACCATGGTGTTACTTAAGTATTGTCTTCCTCCTCTGCCATTTTATCATGCAGCAAAATAATAAAGGATTCTCTTATGGCTCAGCTGGTAAAGAATCTGCCTGCAATGCAGGAGACCTGGGTTTGATCCCTGGTTGGGAAGATCCCCTAGAGAAGGGAAAGGCTACCCACTCCAGTATTCTGGCCTGGAGAATTCCATGGACTCTATAATCTGTGGGGGTCGCAAAGAGTCAGACAAGGCTGAGCGACTTTCACTTTTCACACTAAAATAAAATAAGACTGTACTATGATCATTTTTCCTAGGATCCTGGTGTTATCTCCTTATGGTTTGTAAATATATATCCTGTTTTTGTTAGTTGCAAATTAAAGGGACATTCTGAGTGAGGGAGAAGAAAAAATAGAAAGGAAATTTAGCTTCAAAATGATTTTTTAAAAGTCCTGGTCAGTTACAGTATTTTTTCCATATGTAAAATGGTGAAAGAGAGTGCCTCAAATTGGTGTGGAGGTTACATATAAGTAGCTCTGTGAAGTAGAGAATTTGGAGTGGTCTGTTTATTAAGCATTTCAATGGTGTTTTTTTCCCTGTAATCATTAGATTCTTTTGTGTTTAGTTCTTGTGAAGTTATGCTCCAATTTCGGAAAAATTTGTTAAGCAGTAGTAAAATGTCAATTAGCAGGAAATCATAATATTAATATTATTTATGCTGTGCTGTGTGTGCTTGGTCAGTCAGTCATGTCTGACTCTTTGCGACCCCATGGACAGTAGCCCACCAGGCCCCTCTGTCCACGGAGATTGTCCAGGCAAGAATACAGGAGGGGTTGCCATGTCCTCCTCCAGGGGATCTTCGCAGCGCAGGGATCCAGCCCAGGTCTCCCGCACTGGAGGCAGATTCCTTACTGCCTGAGCCACCAGGGAAGCCCATATATATTCCTCATAGTTACAGTTAGAGTAACTCTCCACTTACTTTAGCTTTTCATTTATTAAAGCTTACGGTTTGCTTGACAGTGTCTCTGGGAGGCAAGTACAGGGATATTTCTTTAAAGCTTTCTTTTTTTTTTTTTTTAAGCTTTCAGATATAAAAGAAAATTTTGATTTCAGTTGTGATTTTACATTAAACCATCTAATTATATCTTTAAAATTACATGCTACAAGTAGGTTTCCTTTTTCAAGTTTCCTTATTAAATGCATACTTGGAAACTGAAATAGAATTTTGTACTGGAGACAACCTTATGTTTTGTTGGAAGCTTGTGAAAGTTCAGAATTGTTAGAGAATAAACTTAAATTTAAAGAAAGCAGAGAGCAAGCTACTCATAATGGTTATATCTTAAATTCTTCACTAAGTTTATTCAGTTACAGATATTCTGTCCTTCAGTTGTTAGTGCTAGAGTGGGCCTTTCGTGAACAAATACCGTCACACCTGTACTGGTAAGGAATACTAACTTGAAAATGGGAGTGAAAGGTAATAAGTGAAATAAAATTGAGAAGTGAGATAAAGTGAAAGGGGAGAGTAAAAAGCCAAAGACCAGTGCCAGCCCTAGTGCCTGGAAGACACTATTGTCTGACATTCTGTCACCTGCTCCCCACACGCCCAGTCGCCTTTCCTCTAGGGAATTTTCAGGTTGGGAAGAGGCCGGAGGACAAGAGGAAGTTCTCTCCCATAATGTGACAGCATGATGCTATATTTTGTAAATAATGTTAGAAGAAAAAACTTTATGTTTTAAAATGAGTTTTAAGGTGCTAGTCAGTTTTTACTTGACTTTCACACAGACTAATAGTAATTATTCAGTGCCAGGCACTCCCTCAGAGAAAATATGTTTTTGGTTGACTTGGTTATTTTAAAAGGTAGTGCTGTATTTTGACATAGAACAAGTTAAGTCAACTCTTATAAAGAACAGGACAGTATTGGCCTTATTTCTAACTTCCAAAGAAAATTCCTTTTTTTTTTCAATAGTTCAAGTGTATCATACATTATTACTAACTATAATCATTATGTGCTATACATTAGATTCCCAGGTCCCTAGAACTTTTATAATTGGAGATTTTCTTCTTTGATCAACATCTTCCCTTTTCCTCCACCACCCTAACACCCATTGCCAAAGAAAATCCCTAAAACGGTTCAGTCTGACTTTCTGTCTGTTTAATAATCTTATTTATTTTTGGCTGTGCTGGGTCTTCATTGCTGCACAGGCTTTTTCTCTAGTTGCGGGGGGGCTGCTCTCCAGTTGCGGTGCGCAGGCTTGTTGCGGTGGCTCCTTTTGTGGGTCCCAGGTTC